AAAATAACAGTATTCAAGATGACAATCATATAAATTAGTAAAAAGGTCTTATTAAAATTGTGTTTTTTTTAATCTGTGTTCTCAGAAACACAATCCTTACAAACCAGCTGATATCATAGAAAGTCTATTCTGTGGTGCTGTTTCTGGGATGATAAGTAAAGGCATCATTCTTCCAATTGACATTGTCAAGAAAAGAATTCAGGTAAAACTAGACGCTCCTGGAGCGTGAAGTCGGACTAACTATTTTTGAAAATTGATTAAGACACAAGTTCACGAGTGATTGAAATGTTTTAAAGGGAAAGGGTATAAAACAACAACAAAACACTCAATAACGTCAAGAAATTATAGATGCATACTCGAAAATCTTACAGTCATCGACTTTTGAGAGAAAAAGATTTAGATAAGATTTAGTACTTAACATTTTCCTAGGTATCGTTTTGCGCAATTCTCATTTCTGTCCCCCTTGGTAAATATACTGTGACGTCATAATGAAGCAGGGTTATTACAGTAAGGGATGGAACTATTGTTTTATATCTGCCATGATTTTGATCTTGTAGGTCCAAGGGTTTCAAGAAGCWAGGGCAAACTTTGGGAAAGTACCTGAATACACTGGTCTTGTTGACTGCGTCCAGTCCATTATGAAATATGARGGAATTGCGGGACTATTCAAGGGACTTGCGCCAAGCACGATTAAGGTAATAACTCCCAGTACTAAGGGAATTTAGTTTTCTTTTTCTTTCGAGTAAGTCTATTTTCGCGCTTTGCCCGCTGTTCGATAGTCTCCTCGCAGCCGTGTTTAGTTTCGGTCACGAGTCACGCAACCTCCCAGGCTGCGTGACGCGTGACGCGTGACCGAAACTAAACACGGCTGCGAGGAGACTAGCTGTTCGACCGCTACCGTCAGAACGAAGCTTGTGATTGATTGAGACAAAAAAAACATTTGTTCTAAGTTGTGTGCAACTCTAATCCGTTGAAAATGTCACATGTCACAAAATGTCAAAAAATCCAAGACGATTTGCGGGGTTGATCCATGCATTTTATTTTTATGCTCCCAAAAATAGTCAATTTTCAATTTGTTATAATTCTGAAGGAAGAGGGGGAGGGAGGGGGATTGTCCAGCTTTTTTTTGTGTTTTTAATGCTATGAAGAAGGCTATTGACTTCAAAATGGCATTATTATTTCGGAATCTCACAGCGAACAAACTGTTTGACTATTAGACAATGTGTTATCCTATTGATTTGGCAAATTAAGTCTCATATTTCAAAGACTCCGTCTGCCAATGAAGTGGTGATCAATGCCCGAAGGACCACACCCTGAACACGCCCCTGAGAAAGCACTTAGAAAACAAACAAAAGCTACAAAAGAGATTGTACAGTCAGCTCTCGCTATTACGGACACCCTCGGGACCGTAAATTAGTGTCCGCAGTAGCGAGAGTCCGTAGTAACATGAGTTACTTTAAGTAATTTCTTTGTATTTTTCTCCGGGGATTCAGTATTTTACTTTCCGCAATATCGAGTTGTCCGTTGTAGCGGGGTGTTTGTAAGGCGAGTGTTGACTGTATAACGAACACAAGATACCGGGAGGACTACTGTCATTCAGAGTTTGCATTACAATATAGTGAACTCTGCTGAATAAAAGATTTATATATGACATGCTTTCGAGGCTAAGGCTGCACAAATAAGATCTCGAAACTGGAGCATTACTATCATGCCTTGCTCTGGAATATAGAGTCGCTGTATTGATCTATATGTTGCGTTTACTAGGCTGGTGTATCACTGGGCATTACATTCTGTGCCTACGAACAGTGCCTACACCTAATGAGACACCTTATACACGATGATATGGAAGACCACGTCAAAGACTTAACCTCAAGATGAATAGTAAACATTCTAGCAGATACATATTATAAGTACCGAAGATTTTGTTTCACCAACCCCTCCTAAGTCAATCTCGTTCCCAGAATCCCCAGAAAGATATTACGTACATCAAGCACGCATGCGCAAATAAAAAAAAGAGCTATGCGACCATATTAAAGGCTCACAAATATCCAGGAACCTTTGCGCGATTTTCTCACATTCAAAAATTCGCCATCTTTGATTTTGAACCAATCACAAATCACCTTTCAGCAAGTGATCATTTGTGAATTAAAAGAAACGGTCGCAAAGGCTCTTGGGATGTATATTGGCCTTTAAAAGTAGCGCAGTCCTTTGCAATTTTAAGTTGCGAATATATTGATATAGCAAAGTGTAGAGAAAGTAACTGGTTACTTTTGGTTTACACAGTACAACCGATTTTAAAAGTTTCAATTTGCTTATCTACAAAACGTTGAAAATACTCAATACTGTGATATTTTACAGTTCTAAGTACTTGAATGGTAGCAAAGCCTTTGAATCAAAGCGAGAAGAAGTTGAGTCTACAGTGATAAAAACTTTTTGTTCGCACCTTAGATAATTCGGTTACCTYTCAAGATGGCGCTTGGAACTATAACTTGGTGTATTGCATTTGACATTTGTGTACAAAGACTTTTAATATAATAGTGTATTCCATTCACAAGAGGTTTAATGTTTACAATGGGCAGGTCAATAATCCAGTTTCGAATTCTCCAATGCTCTGTGTTAGCCTCTTTTATGCGCAAAATATTCCTAATTGTTAGAATAAAAGTGTGAGATTTCAAATCAATTCTATTGTCTTTCTTTTCAAATTCCATGCGTTTTCTCGGGCTATCAATGAAACAAAAGAATATGTTGCTTGGTTTTGAGGCTAACACAGAGCAAACACAGAGATAGAAATTGGAGTATTTCCTCTTTATCTGCCGTCATAACGAAAAACTCACCCTTCGGTATCCTCTTGGTCAAGCGGGGTCCTTTTCTTCTTTCTGCTGGGTAACAGTCTTCCTCGATCATATTGAGGAAGGCAAAAATAAAAGCTGAAAGGAAGAGAGGGGCCAGAGGAGGTGTCTACACCTTAATAGTCTATCATGTTGATATGATTCGGTATGTTAAATCGCACCAGTCGTCATTCAATGTACAGAAGACCAACAYTTTTTATAACCCTAGTGCCTTGTACAAAAAAACGACTTTTATTGTCTTTTTCTGGCTATTTATTGCTRTTTTCTTTTGGAATATGTGAACTCAAACAGTCCGAAGTGCTCACTGTCACCATAGTAACTATGCTGTCAGTTTTTTTTGTCGACGTCACTGATTCAAAATTCCTGACTACTTTTACAGTTCATTTCAAAACTGAACAAACTCCAAACAGTAGTTCATAAAAAACAAACAAGAAAACTAAGCCAAAAAGTGCGGTTAGCATTTGACCGTTGAAATTCACATATTTGACGAAAATTGAAGCAATCATGAATTTTACAAAAGACTCGAAGATGTACATAAAAACTTGGCGAATATTAATTTTATTTCAAATTGAAAATATTATCAAAWTAAAAAAATTAATAAAAAGGATATGATGTTCAAAAATGTGAGAAATAAAGATTTTTTTTTGCCTTCAATGTGTTCTTCATTTATCTACAGTCGACTCTCGCCTTACGGCGGACACCTCGATATTGCGGACAGTAAAATATACTGAATCCCCAGTGAAAAATACAAAGAAATGACTGAAAGTAACTCCGTTACTACGGACTCTCGCTACTGCGGACACTAAATTACGGTCCCGAGGGTGTCCGTAATAGCGAGAGTTGACTAGARCGGATTTCGTATGAGTGGGAAACGGACGGTACGGTACTGTGTCCGTAATYGTACTGTAACCAAATTCTAGTGCCCCATTGTTTCACCAAAATTCTGCAGGCCAGGTGCGGTAACTGTGCGGTAACCGTGCGGTAGCGGTGTCCCATTCATACGAAATCCGCTCTATATCTCATTTTCTAATTCCATATATGAAAAATGACCCGTCGACCGCATTGAATGCTGGTTAACCTTGCGCATGTGAACGTGTTAGTTTAGCGGGATTAAATTCTTTTTTTTTTTCTTCTTTCTATCTTTCTTTCTTTCTTTTTTTTTTGTCGAGCAAGACGGTCTGTAATAAAAGTCAACAACTTTACCAGTTTGAGTGTTATACCGATATCGATCGGAGTCTCCAGATATCGACTTCTTTTTAAATCAATTTAACAAACTCCCCATGCAAATAGCAATATGTAGTATCATTCGATTTATCAAGTTTGYGGCAGATGGATTTATATTGCTCCTTTCAAAATGCTTTCAAAAAATCTCCCTTCTAGATGGGGTCTGTAAACACCAATTTAAATGTGTTTGCTAAAAAGAACCTGAAAGTGTGGACATAAAGGCAAAAAAAAAACATGAATGGTGTAAATAGAAATTAAGAGCAGAGCTGTACATGTTGTATTTGAAATCTTATCTGTTTTTATTGCGGTGCGTTTTGATAGGATCTAAACGACAATTTTCTAGTTAGTCTAGTWTTATGCGTCAATACGAAAACCAAGTATGAAGCAAGATTTCACACAATTTATAGAYTGTTAAYAGAGTAACAAGTTGTTACCAGAAAGATTATCGAGCGGATTTCGTATGACTGTGCAACAGCACGGATCACAACACGCTGAACACGGCACGGTCACGGACCTCGCCTTCTAGGATTCTAAACAAAAATAAAGATTTAAYAATACATATCACCGCTACGGCGGTTTTTTGCACAGTCATACGAAATCCACTCTATCATATTCAGAAGTTAATAAAATTTTTTCCAGGAGAGGAATTAAAAAGTCCTAAAAATGTTTCCCTGTTAATGTTTCATGCTAACAAAAAAAAAACACTTTTGAGTGCACAAAAGATCTATTAAAATGTCCATAAAAGTAGTACAGGAAATGTTTTTATTAGTGGCTGGAAAGGCAAATTCGTTTCATAGTGGCTTTACAGGAGTGTTTGTCCCAGTTAGCATGGAAATTGCTTGTGAAACTTTCAGTTCACAATCAGTCCTATTCCAAGGGACAAAAAGGGTATAAAAATGATAGTTATTTAGAAGTAGAGAAGTCACTATTTCAACACGATCGAAAATTGATGAAGTATTGAAGGACATCGCCAGAGGGAATGGTGTTGGATTGGACGTTGGACTGCCAGCGCTCTTAGAAAGCCAAAAACGTCTTAACTCGGTAGCAGGAGTAATGGCTCCTGTCGRCAGTCATTGGATCCTCACTAATGTAAAACGAAGAGAGGTAAATTCAAAATGTCATGGATATAAGAATTAATTTGTTGGCTTGGAACATATATATCCATTAAAAGGAACATRCTACGCTAAAAGTTAAGAGGATTATAAAGACTCATGCAAGACTGAAACGTTACAATATYSTTCTSTGCAGTTWCCGCCACCATTTTGAAACTAGTGGAAAATGGTGGGCTTGCAAGAGTAGATACTTTTTAATGAATTGTAATTGTACTTTTTAATAATTGTAACTTMTGAATATTCCAATATATAATCTTGCTGGTAACAACTTGTTACTCTATTCTCTCCCGCTCAAGGGGTAATAATGACTCTAGACAATACAGTAGTATTGCTTCCAAAAACTGAACTTGCAGAACGATATATTCAGTCGAGGTGCTGCTTTAGTATCGTATGTTACCTAATTCCGGTCGACAAAACGGATGCTTCGAAGAAAATGCAAAACAGCATTTCTCATTTCTTGCATTCTCAAGAAATAGATTACTGGATTGAAAGCACTGTTCATTAACGCCAGAGATGTGCACATATATGATGACTGATTAAGACTGCTTGTAGYTTTTTCAAACATGATCCTTTTCATGATTTCGGTCGTAATCATAGGSGTGTAGCAAATTACAAATGTCCCCATGATGTAGTACATTGTGTGTACAGATTTCTTGTATCGAGGCATGTTAATATTTCCTTGACTTGCATGTCTTTGGGACTGGATCTGGTTCGAGTGTTTCTTAACGACGTGTGAAATTCTTAACATCAAAAAAGAGTTTAAAAGAAAAACAGCACAGGAACCTGCTAGAATTGTATAGTGAGCARCAACATGAAAATGGACGAAAACTGTCGTTGTACTAAGAAKCATGATAGCTATCACAGCAATATAGGTTCGTTTTGTCGTTACGAGTTCCTGGTATCTAAGATGTAATTGAAGAGCAAGGAATCGATCGATAGTAATGGCAGATATGGTCAGATATGACGCAGCAATCAAAGGCCAGAAGCATACAACACTCAATACTGTTATTACATCAAGATAAGATTGTACATTATCTCCTAACAATGCAAACAGATATATTATCAAWGTAGGCTGCACTACAAGACCGACACAAAAGTCAGTGATAGCTAGAAAAAGGATAAGAATGTTCGAAGGTGTTCGCAAAGATGGCGTCTTCACAAAAGTCAAGACGATCACGAAGTTCAAAAYGCAAGCTGCAACAGAGCTTGATGTGTTGATGACCACCAAGGAAATGATATAATTTCTTAAGTGAATATCCATGGGTGTTTTTGAAATGCTTGTGATCTTTGAATGCGTTTGGATTAAGAGATGATGTCCCCACAATTTTTTTTTTTGAATGTGTGTTCTTGGTTGATTTGACTTCTGTCTTTTCCCACATGAGAGCTTCTATCGTAGGCCCTTATCGTTTGTTTTCCGTAATTTCCATGCACGTACCACTTGTGGAGAGCAATTCAATCACAAAATCACCATGACACTACCTACAATACAAACATAGTAGTGCTATTGCCATTCGAGATTGATTCAGCAACAGCAACAGCTGTTCGAAAATGGATTATTATTTTTTGTATTTGCGGACTTCTGTTTCGYAACAAATTACTTTACTTATGGGAAGGAATCATTTACAATTAAAATCAATAAAAGTAACTTTTAMAATGAATTATTGCAGCCATTCGATATCAGGTAACTTCCCTTTGACACCTGTTTCTTCGAAGAAACTGCACAACGTGATTTCTCATGTCTCGCATTCTCCAGAAGTAGATGACTGGATTGAAAGCACTGTTCATCAGACCAAGAGTTGTACACACTATATATAATAACTGAATAAACCCTTGCGTCGCCTTTCTCTCCAACGTTTCATATATAATTTCGGTCGTAGTCATAGGCGTGTAGCAAATTACAAATGTCCCCATGATGTAATACATCGTGTTTACTGATTTCTTGTATCGAGGCATGTTTATGTTTCCTGGACTTGTTTGTCCTTGGGAGTGAATCTGTTTCGAGTGCTTTTTTATGACTCGTGAAATTCTAACCATCAAAATCGCATTTAATAGGAAAAGTGTGCAGCCAATTATCAGAAATATAACGTTTGCAATAAGGTAAAAATTGGCAAAAACTGTGAAAGCGCTAATAATTATATGGATTATTACAACAATGTAGGTTCGTTTAGTTGTAACGAGTTCTTGGTATCTTAGATGTAGCTGAAGGGCAAGAAACCTATCAACRGTGATGGCATAAATTGTCGCAAAKGACGTAGCTATCAATGGCCAAAAGGTGCATTCGTGTACTAGATATATAGTTGATTCTTCGAGAAGAGATAATTCATTAAMATTTCCCAATAGCTCCATCAGATAAGCAATAAAAGTAGGTTGCRCTACAAGACCAACACCAAAGTCAGCGATGGCTAAAGTGAGAAYAAGAATATTCGAAGGTGTCCGAAAAGATGGCGTCTTCACAAAAGTCAAGATGATCAAGAAGTTCAAAACGCAAGCTGCGAGTGAGCTTAGCGCGTTGATTATCACAAAGGAGATGATGTACKTTCTCGAGCGAGCATCCATCGCTGTTGTTGAGACGTTCATGATCGCGTTCATTATGGCGAATGACAGCAAGTTTCAATTGATTTTTGACGTTAGCTGATCAGARCGTCGGTTTTCCTCSACTAAAAACTGAATTCAGAGTTTMCGAAACACTCGACTAGCCAGTAAGTTTAACCAAATAATTTAGCATGCRCATATTTAAAAAGAAAATATAAGACACATTCAAAGGTAGTTATTGATTTAATAAAATCCAGCTGTTATGAAATAATTGCCTTATGGAGAGATACTTTTTTCAGAAAATATATTTGAGGCCACAAAATAATAGATAGAACGATTTTTTCATAAAATGGAGCCCTTATTGAAGAAAAAGTTAGAAGATGACAATAAAACAAAGGCAAAAAAGAAAAAGAAAAGAAATTTTGTCTCCTAACAGATTGTCCATCTATACGTTTTGACATGACACGAAGAGTTATTGTATTAATTTGTATTAAAACCAGACGTAGATGGTAKGTGGTATCCAATCGGGTCTTGAAAAGCATTGCCATTTATTTTTCCAGCGCGAGCAGCTGAAAATGTTTTTAACATAATTTAAATCGCTTTTGAAACTAGCCCTTCGGACCATTCTTAAATTTCTGTTATATGGAATTGTAAGGACATCAAAACACTGAGAACAAGGGATTTATCTGATTGACAATGAGGAATAAATAATAATCCGCAAAAAATTAGTAAGGATCTTTTAATGATGCGCGCACGAAAAATCTATTATGAATTTTAATACCTGAAACCT